GGGTTGTACGGGGGGAGGGGCATGTTAAAATCAGTTGGGTTTTTTTTCGACAGTAGCCTACATATTTTAAGGGTGGCCTAAGATCTACGATTGTATTGGTAGAGTGCCATTATTACAGGGCTGGTTTCTTTACCTTTTTAAAAATGTATTAGATCTATTGCAGATGTGTTGGTCTAGCAGACGACGGACGGTGCCTATTGTGAGTGGGTTACAAAAAGTTAGAAAAGTAAAAAAATTAAACTAGATCTACTCCTGAGTTTATTGAAACCAACATCGGAAAGAAAACAATTTATGACATTATTTCAAGGGTGGTTTTTTTGTGTGCTGTTGTTACGTTCACAGCCAAACGGTTTCAACAAACTCAATCGATAATGATTAAAGAATAAAATATGTTTAAAATTCACTTGCCAATGAAAACATGATCAAAGGCTTGAATGAGGTCGCCTCGTCTATCTGGATGTCAAGACGAATCATAACAAATCCGACAAAGCGAGCCTTAGACCAGCTATATTTAGAACCCTCCCTCCCCCACGTAGGAATGGAATTACCCAAACAACGCGTGAATACTGTGGCCTTGCCTTGTCTGTGACGTCAGCACAGGCCAACGCGTTTGTAGGCAACTGCGAAGGATTGGCTGGCTCGGTGTTTAGTGTGCAAGTGTGAGAGCCTCGATCAACATGAAATTCTCGTCGGGGCCTGTGTTTTCCGAATGTTTTTGATGTGAATTTATCATGTTATGTGTTATGGTACGATATATTTCACAATTGGATTCGTAAACGTGAACAGCAAGTGAAAGAAGGGTCTATTTAGTTCTGTTACTGTTTCGTCTATGAGCCGTGAACGCGTCAGCTGTTCCATAATGGAAGGAGGGGGTCAAGAGAAGTCGAAGAAACGACAACCCAAAACCATCATTATTGGAGGTGGTATAGCTGGTCTGGCAGCTGGCAAGTATTTACAACTTGAAGGCTTCAATGATTTCTTAATTTTGGAGGCTTCTGATCGAATAGGAGGGAGAATCTGGAGTGTCCCAGTTGGTAAGTGAACGCTTTAGCGGACACGAACTTCGTCATTCATTCACTATTGATCTTGACATGGATGCGTCCATTATTCTAGTGGGTTAGCAATGGCATGAGAGAAGTACGTGTCATAAAAAGTCGTTAGCTGTTTGATAATGATAGGCTACCCATTCTAATGTTAGAGGTATTTCTTTTATTCATCCAGAACTCGAGCATAAACAAACAGCTCGCTTTTTTGTTGTAAGGGTAGCTCGAATCATAAGCTCTGTCGTCGACGTCTCGAGTGGTGCACTGGGTTGGCGGGTTTGGCCGACGCCGACATGGGTGAAGGTCAGGAAAGGGCAGTGGCTGTCCGGTGACGGGTTTCTTGTCCTAAATGGCCCTGGCCCCAGGCCTAGTGGCTCCTTTGACTCCCTTGTCCACTGCCTGTGAGGATGCAGACTGGTGTTCGACCAAGCGATCACTGATCTGAAGAACTCGACGTTTGCATGTCTACGTCTAAATATCGAAATATGGCTAACTTTGAAGGCCTGAAAACTGAAGAAAATAGCCCAATCCGTTCTTTGATTTCCACTCCTCTTCCTGGCCCCTTGTAACCTTGTTAGCCTAGCCTAGTTCGACGTTTCAAACTGCCTCTGGTTATTCCTATTCCATTACATTAGATCACTAGAGCACAATGATTACGGCATGATTAGAACACGGAAAGGCCCACACCATGACTGTTGAAGTTGAGTCAGGTCCCTCCGGCCCGCTAGACACAGGCCGCACCCTTTAGTCGTCGTCATTGTTATTTTTTGGTCTTCTTTTGGCTTTAACTAACAGAGGCGGATCTGGCATCATCTCTGGGGGGGGGGGGGGGGGGGGGGGGTTATTGTTTTTTGGTGGGTTTTTTTAACTTGTCTTGTGTCTGCCCTGAGATTGAGATTAACTAGATCTAGCCTAGATCTAGAACTAGATTAGTGTAGTACAGACTTTTAAACACATTAATTTGAACTGTTTATAATAATATGGTACCTTACTTTAAATTATCATTGTTCTTCCAATTGGTCGATTTTAAGGACAAGCAGGCGAACCCAGATTTGGTCGGTTTCCAGAAATCTTGACCTACACCAAAAGTGGGCATTGCCCTACCTGTGGGAGAAGTTTGGTTTCCCTGGTGTGTTTTGGTTATTGAGAAAACTTTTCGTGTCTTTTAAAGAAACTGAATAAGGGGCTAAACTTTACCCTCGGTTTTCTCAAAACAGCTTTTTTCGGGATAGTATAGCCCCCTTGTACTTAAAAGCGATCAAATAGAATCTAAAGCAGTGAGGAAATGATAACTACTACTATGATGGATTAAGGCAACAGTCTTCTTGATGTAGAATCTATGTGTAGTGTCACGACGCAATGGAATCAGGCACTTGTTAATTTTTGGGTGCGGAGTTATTGGTTTCAGCTTTAAAAAAAAGCTTGTTCATTTGGAAGGAGTTCCGCAGAAGGCCGACCGATCAACAGCACCTAACCCAAACCCTTGTTGGCCTATAGTTTGTCATGGCAAGTGCCGGCCCTCTGCGGAACTCCTCCCTGTTCATTTGTCTTTTACTTTCGTTGAAATCCACACCCAATCTATCTTGAATAGAATGGAGAATTTACAATTAAATGAGGTGAGGGTCACCTGGTTTCTGTTTCAGAAGTAAAATTAGCGAGAAAATAGCCGCCAAAATATGGTGACTTCTAAAGCTTGAGTTCTTTAAAACTGCAAATTTAATTTTTGTGCTGTTAGTTACATTTTCCAAGTTTTTCTGTAAATTCCACACTGTACTGAGTTTTTGCGAGGATATTAAAGGCTTTGAGCCAAAGAACAAAAATTTGATAAAAATTACCACTCAAGCATAAAAATGGCCATTTTTTTATTTCATTATATTTTGACTAGTGCCTGGTTTCACTATGATGCCTCACAATAATTTGAACTCAATTAAATTTGTTTATTTGGAACGCTTACAAAATCCAGGCCTTTTATGTAATCAATATTATCTGCAAAGAAATTATGGGAAGTTCATTTCTTTGGTGTCTTGAGGTGGAATTTTTTCCCCAATTTTTATTGGCAAGGGTAAAACCCCCAAAAGCTATCAAAGCTCAGCCTGAAATTTTTAATTTAAAAAATGGTCATTTTGTTAAATAATGTTTTTTTTCAAAATGAGTTACTTCTCGCAATCCACGATTGGATGTTTATTAGCCAGAAATCGAAATAGGGAGCAAATTTGCACATATATATATGTCATCCATCATATGTCAAATGATGCTATTTTCTTCAAATTTGCAATGTCTTTTATGATCTCATTGTATAAACCCCACCCATAAATTTGATGCGCATGTGTCTGTAGGCCTAAAATCCGAGAGTATATTTTGTCAGCTTACCTTTCTAACACTTGTTAATCTGAGTGAGTGTGTCAGTACGATGAACAGGTTGTATGCATTATACAATGCTGCCTGGGCCCGGGCCAGGTTATGGACAGGGGCACAGAACAGGTTAAATTTTTGCAAGGGAAGTTAGTTTTTCGCAACAACCCAAAGCCCTATCCACTCACCCTCATCCTTTTGTGAATTCTTTGTTCTTTTCTGTGCTATCTACACTACAACAGGCAGGTCAGTTTGCTTATTTGAATTTCCAATTTTAGAAGTCTTTCGAATGCTCTATTACTATTATTAGTAGAAGTAGTAAGGGATTTTTTACTCAAGTTATAACGAAAGAAATTGGGACTCTAAAAACCATTTTAAAAATAATTTTTCATCAGTGACACGTTTTATTTCAGACTCATGTATAATATTGATTTGTCAAGAATTTGTGTTGAAATGAAAATTTCTCTGCCTTAAAGGACTTCATCGGTGTTTTGTTTTGTAGTTTTTTTATTTGTTTTGCTGTTTTCACTGCAAGTCACTGTAATGAAAATGTAGTGCCAGTTTAGTTGAAGTTCTACCCCACTGTTTCTGACTCCACCACCACGCCCTCCCTCCCCATATTTTTTCTGATCACTTGTTGTTAGAACTTACTTAATATATTCCTTATCCCTGCTAAATTCTGTGTTCTAAACGATTCTGCAAAATGAAGCAGCCCACCCACCCACCCATACGCTGTAATTTTTTGTATAAAATATCACTGCTTTTGGTCTAAATGCCCCCAGCACTTTTGGTACCTCGACCAATCAGGCGGGATTTCCGCAACACCTGACTGCGTAGATAGATTGCAGCTGACTGTGGTTGATTGGGCAGGACTTTCGGCAGACGGCATAGCACTCGACTTTTAACTAAACTATACTTTTATGATATTTTTACTAGTTTGAATCTTGTCAGACCTTGCTTGCTCAGTTTCAATGATGAAATCGTATAAATTATTATCATCATTGTGAATAACATAACAAAACTTATTAATAGCAAAATTCATACCATTATATTGTCTTGAACTGATAATGGTGAACTTATCAAATTGAATATATTTTTAAACTTTATTCTCAGATGACAATGGTCACAAAGCTGAGCTTGGTGCAAACTGGATTCATGGGGTTAAACACAACCCTATCTACAAGATTGCTGATGAGAACAACCTTCTTACGGAGAGAGAGCTTCATCTTAACAGTAAGAACATCTACAAGACAGAACTTGGAGAAACAATCTTTGAAGGTACGGTGAAGAAAGTTGACTTTGCTTATGGTACGATGCTCACCTCCTGTGAGGACTACTTCCTGTCACACATCCCCATTGATGTGAATGAAAGTGTGGGCAGTGAGCTTGACCGTCTAATTCTTGAAAAACTTGCAAACACAGCTGGAGAAGAACGGCAACAATTGGAATTAGTGTACCACCAACGGCGTCTTCTGGAGTGTTGTATCAGTGGCTGTGATAGCCTCTATGATGTGTCCTTGTCACAATTTGGTTCTTACAAAGAACTGCCAGGCCGTCACCTTGTTATTCCCCGTGGCTTCAGTGCTATTTTGGATATTGTGAGAGAAGGAATACCAGAAGATAGAATTAAACTCAATAGTCCTGTGCGCAAAATTCACTGGGGAGATGTGAGTGAAGGCCAGTGTCCAGAGGATATGGTCAGTGTGGAGTGTGAGAGTGGTGACATATATTATGCCGACCATGTGATAGTGACTGTATCCCTAGGTGTTCTCAAAGCAGCTTGTGATAGGATGTTTACCCCAGAACTTCCTCTGAAGAAAAAAGATGCCATTCATCACTTGGGATTTGGAGTTGTAAATAAAGTGATCCTTGTGTTTGATGGACCAGTTCTGGAGAAACCCACTCACCGCATACACTTAGCATGGGACCCAGCAGTCAACAATGAAGAAAATCTCAGGGAAAGATGGTACAGAAAAATATACTCTCTGGAAGTTGTACATGACAACGTACTTGTCGGTAAGTATTAAGAACCCTCCTACTACTCCAGCTTTCTCTCTCTCTTTCTCTGTCTTCCTTCTTCCCTGTCCTTCCTTTTTTACCCCATCTTTTAGCTGTGATTCTTCATGCTTCTTTCCTGTTACTATGACTGTGTTGTTTCCGTTCATCATATCTCATGAATTTACGCTGAAAAGTTAATTGACCTTACTTACCCTTTTCTCCTTTTCATGTTTGAGTTTTCTTTTTCCTTGAATTGTATTGAAATAAAATGTGTCTTTCTCTATCTTTCAAGCACTCTCAACTTCTTGTTGTTACTTGTTTCTTTTTATGGTTATTTTCCTGGTTATTCTTCACTTCATGTATTACAAATTTAGTTTATTTTGACATTTTTGAATAAGTTCATTTACGTGAAAGATCCATGAATGTAGATCTAATTGATTTTATTGTGGTAGGTTATGTGGTTCTCAAACAGTGTAAATGGGTGGTTGGCGGGTGCTCTGGTGTGGTTTGCTCCCTCTTTCGTATCGAACATCTATCGTCCTTATCTTGCCTTCTTCTCTTCTGTTTTCTTTTGTAACACCTCTAATCTTCTGGCGCTCATATGACCTTATGCAGTTGCGAGTTCAGTAAAACCTCTACTAGAACTAACTAAAAAACGGTGTAAGACCTTTGAAAAGTCGAGTTCTTTGTAAGCATTGAACTCAATGTCTTCAAAGCAGGTGTCTCATGCCTTTGATCTCTACTATTATCTTGGGTTGCCACTTTTGTCAGACAAGTTTTTTACCCTATCCGTACACCCTGGGGGCATTTTGTACCTCCGGGGTTGTATTCTTCACATTTTAGAATACTTCTAGTTTGAAGATCTCTTTGAAACTTTCAGTATTTCTCAAAAAGTCATCTTTGGAAAGTGGTGGCACTGAGTTCCCCATGTCGTATTGATACCATAGTAAAACACGACATACATATAGGGTTACTTTAAGGAGGTTGTAAGGTCAAGCTTCTTCAATTTCTGTAATGTGAAGTTTTCACTTTGTTGCAAGATCTTTGCATTGAATGTTGATTAGCACACTCATGATCTATATTTTGTGCTGTCTTTGAGTCCTGCTTACAACCAGCCACTTCGAAGGCCTTCTATATTGCTAGAAATTAAGACACATCTGTAAACTTGCACTGCTTTGTCCCTGTTGTTTCAAGCTTGAATGTTTCCTAGTATTTAATGTGACACTAATTATATGAGGATGATATCCTTTTCTTGTCTAGTAAAAGTTTATTTTTAGAAAGAAAAACCTTTTTCTGGACCAGCTCTATGAAACTGTTGGTAAAAATAACCATCCGTTGATGGATTACATAAAAAGCTGGAGACAACAGCTGTCACACCTGGAGCTTAGTGCTTGTGAACTTTTTAGCCTACCTGTTCTATAGCTGGAGGTGTGTACTTGAGGGAACATCATTCTTCATCAGCATGTAATTTGTTTTTACTCTTATTAAATTTTATATCTGTACGACTTGACACCTAAAGCTAACTGAAATATGACTGAGGAAGTAGTTGATCCTATGAATATCTAAACAGTTTGAGACAATTGTTGTCTTCAGGCTTTTGTGTTAGGTGAGAGCACTTTTCCTTTGATATTTCAAGCTTCAGTTGTAAATTGTAATGGTAGGCTGGGGTTTAGTTGCAAAGAAACATGAATGTTGCATAAAATCAAATTTGTTACTGCTGAAATTTAAATTAATCAGAATACCAGCCGTGGCAGTGTTAATGATTTTTGTTCTGGTTACTATAGGGTTTTTTTTCTGTCTGGCAACCACACAGAGCCCCACATCTTTGGAACTAAAAATTGAATCCTAGTCTTTTTAGTAAGGGTTTTTGTATCATGTATATTCTATGCTGCTTAAAGGATGTGCATGTGATGAAGTTGTGATTTTTCGAGAAGGGTGGCCTCAGAATACCTGTTATGGAACAGATTTCAACAGCTCAACACATTTCAATAGCTGTCAAAATAAATTTATAATTGGGTACAGTTTTAGATGGCTTTTCTGAATTCAGTGAGAACATATATTATTATATATATATATATATATATATATATATATATATATATATAATAATGAACACTTTTTCCCTTTGATAAAATTACTGTATGTGCCCTGAATAGTCTCATCATCTGCCATGGAAACACTTCAAAGTTGAGTGTGTTCTATTGAAGACGTTCCCCTGTTTTTTTTAATGCAGTCATGTAAAAAGAAAATAGTATTTTCCCTGCATGGGGGGAGGGAGAAACTTACTTCGCACTGGCAGTATGTGACCTAGTCTATAGAGACTATCATTATAACACTCAACAGTCTACGCTCGAATATTTTCTTTATTCCATCATTTTTTTTTTTCTTTCCCTACTTACTTTTTATGTCTAAAGACTCTGCTTTCACTATGGCTTGTTTGTGTCTAGAGATGTTACCAATTCAAATAAACTCTTCAAGAATATTTCCCTCACCTCAGGAGATTAGACTGGAAGAAAATGTGTGTGAGGGAAGAGTGTTAAAAAAATTCAACATCTTTTCATGTTATATTTAAGAAAATGGATATATGGTACAATGATTTTTTTCATCCCTTTTTTTTTTTTAAAGGTAGCAAATCCTGTTTGTGGTGTTTCATTTCAGTGTGATGATAATGTTTGTAAAAATTGTTTTGTCTTTGTAGGTTGGCTGTCTGGAAAGGAAGCGCTGTTCCTAGAGTCTTTGACTGATGATGAAGTTCTGGAGGCAATGGATAAGGTGGTGCATATGTTTTTGCAAGGACAAGACATTCCAACATTGAAAAAGGTTATACGGTAAGTTTTGTGAGAACGAGATGTTCATAATTAATAACAATATGATTCAATTATGGCCAAACTGCTGTGTTTATTTCCCAAATGCAGCTTTCACTTATTATTGCTTTTTTGACATTTGATGAATTTGAATAGTTGGAGAGACAATGGAAAGAGGAGAGGAGTCACAGCTTGTTGAAAGAATCGTTTAAAGTGATTACAATATGTTAAAGTTGATTTCAAAGTCATGATTTTTTTCTGTTAAAATGCTGTAATACACTTGTAAATTGAGTAGCACTATTTGGGGTAGAGGATACAGGTTTTAAAGTAAAAGATTTATTTCTCTTATTTATTGCTATTTAGTGCCCTGTAGACTATTGCAGTTGCTTCATAGATTTCTGTAGTGTTGATGTAAAACTACTTTGCTTTTCATATTTCAGAACGTCATGGGGCAATAACAAGAATTCTAGAGGATCGTATAGCTTCATTGCTGTGGGTTCTACTCAAGAAGATATATTACATTTAAAGCACCCTCTCACGAAAAACCTACAAGACAACACAAAAAAGGTGATTTGAAAACTACTCATTACCACAATGTTCAATGTTTGACAAGGTTGGATTGTTTGTTTTTTACGTTCTGGTGACTTTTAGTGCAGCCTGAACTTCGTTGTCTCCCCCCCCGCTCCCCTTTTTAGTTTAAGTTAGATTATTATGAGTTATTGAATGATTAGCCTTATGTTAACTTTTCAAAAGAAGGATTTTTTTTTTCCGTTTACATAAAGCAGGTCACACATTTAGGAATTTCCTGTGTTTTTGATCCTACAGTACCAATTATTGCTCTAACGACTTTGTTTGACTTGTTTTTAGAGGATTTGAACTAAAGCAGCATTTATCATTATTAAACACTTTCCACGCACCTAGCTCGCAAAACTTTTGTCCCCTTGTAGTAGGATGCAGATGGGGAACATCAGTACTATTCCCATATCTAGGAGAAAATACCCCAACCAGTATGAAATTATCAGAACATTGATAAAATTGAATGTGGCGATTGCAAGTTCGCCAGAAAAAAAGGAATTGGAATCAGAACTGAGACTATTACATCTAGCACATTCATCACCCGAATCCTCGTCATAGTATCGGTGTAAAACGACACTTATGCTAGGTCTACTCGACATTTATTTTTGTAAAAATTCACCTTAATTTTTTTTGTAAACGAACTGATTTCTGTACTCAAAATGCCACACATACGATTCACAAAGAAAATTGTTACTTTGATGAAAAGTGTGCATGTCTAAAAGAAGATCATTCCTACAATATTTTTGTCCATATTTTATTATATTGCAATTACCTATTGGTGTCCCATGGGGAAAGGGGACGGATTCTTGCCATCTCTGATCGGCGTTCTGTTGGGGCAAAGTGTTAAAATGTGTCAAGGCGGCATCTTAAATCCTTCCAGAGGTGGACATTCATTTGCTGGGTTCTTGCAAGTACTTTGAGTACCCACTGATTCCATATTATTTGTAGGTTTCTGCAAAAATTGATAATATGATGAGGGTTGTTTTAAAAAAAATATAAATTACATTTTACGTTTCCTGAACAAGGCTTTAATCTTTTCTTTGCCGTGAAAGTCTTTTCTGAGCACTTTTCATTGACGCTATATATTTTAAAGTGTCTGTGAATTAACTTAAAAAAATTTTTTTGTGAGGTGTCTCATTTGGAATCATATATTAATGTCCTCAGCCGGTTGTGCTGTTTGCTGGAGAAGCTACCCACCCGTCCTTCTACTCTACCACTCATGGTGCCCTGGTCACTGGGAACAGAGAGGCTGCCCGAATATGCAAGTTCTGGAAGCCTGCTGAAGGTGAGAGACTCAGAAAACCTCCAGTTGTGATATATTTTTGTGGACAAAATAGAACGTTTTTTCTAAAAATGCTTGGACACTGTTTTTAAATTCTAGACGCACATATTCTAATCAAATGTAGACTATAAATGTGAACTGGGATGACATTATTATTTTGAAAGTTAATAATATTTACTGAGAACTGAAATAATGATTGATTTTTACATTATGCCTTATTGTGTAAGTTTGCTACATAGTTCAGGTCCATCTGAAGGTTCTGTAAGAAGATCTTTAGGACATTTTAAAAAAGGAGCATTAGCCTACTTACAAAGACCAGGTTTAAAATCATGGTAGGAAACAAATATTTATGTGTTGCAAAAATAATAGTGATGGTCAAGTGATGATTTTCTTTCAAAATTTTCAGATGCAGCAGGGAGATATGCAGACTTGGGTTTGAGTGATGCTGAGAACACTGAAGAAGAAGAATCATCTGAAGATGAAGGGTTGTGCTTCATGTAAATTCTGATGGTGGATTCTCAGTGATAAACACGGATATGGATACTTTGATTCCCTTTAAAGAACTTTGGATATGGCACTGGCAGTTTTTTTATGGAAGTTACAGAAACTCTTATTTTAGTTAACTTTTGAGGTCATGTTTTAATAGTGATTAAGAAAATACAAAGTATTATAAACCCAGAAATATGCTTTGTTATTAATATCATCAAAGAATAACAAACTGAATAGCTTTCTTATTGGTTCTTCGAAACCTGTGTATGCAGGGCTCAATCTGACATGTACATTTACTAATTGCATTTTAAAATGTATCTCCGTCTAAAACTTTAGAGGCAGTCCGACCTTTTGTCTTGTAGTGTTGCCATTATACAGAGTTGTGACACATTGTCTTGGCGATGGCATTGTTTTGGCATTGTCGTCTACAGAAGTCTATCCAAGCGGTGGGATCATTTTGTGATAATTGCTCATACTGATGCTGAAGCAAAGATGCGTTAAGTGTTTTTAGGAGTGACTCAAAGTGGTTTTGTTTGGAAGGGGGGGATGAGTTAAGTCACTTGGTGAAAGGAGACACACTTCGTAGCCTTGCTAAGAGCAGATATTCAAAATTATTGCATTTAAAGTTGTTAACAGCTGTGGTGTGAAGTGTATTCTCCATGTGTGCAGGACCCTTTGCAAGATCTGTGATTCAAGAAAGAGTGTTGATAATTTTTCACTCAAATTGGATTTGGTTTTGGAAAGATGCATCATTGTTTGTTCAAAAGTTGGATTAAAGCATCTGTATACTCACAAAGTATTTTGCTAATCAACAACGATCTCAAAGTGAACTGATGCTTTGTGTTTAAATAAACAGCTAAAATTGTGTCACTGGGTCACCCTTTCTTCCTGTGGCCAGTGACTGCATTGATTCATTTCCATCCTAATTTTTTCCTTTACCTTGTAAATGCTGTGGTTGAATATATGTATGACACCTGCAGGAATTGCCCAAATTTGCATCATCAGTTCTCTTGTAGCAGCTGATATGCTGGAGAATTTTGTGTGATCTTTATGATTTTAATGCTTGTAAATATTTATAAATGAGGGCACATCATGGTCCTAGGGGTCGGCCTCTGATTGCCCTAGTGTAGGATGATAAAAAGCAATGATCTACTCAAGTTACTAAATGTGTTGACTGTCTTTCCTTGTGGTGCTTATGTTTATGATAATTGTGTGTCCAGACAACCTGTTTCCATACAGCCACCCATTTTGAAAGCTCTAATTCTAACTTTGAAGGATGTATTCTCCTGAGGCCTGTGCTGCCTTGTGATGGCAGTATAGTATTTAACTTTTGAAGACGGTGAATCATTCTTATATTTAAAATACTATATGCATTTCAAATTTTGCTGTCTATGATGGGTATTATTCATCAAAGGCTATGCTCAAATTCATTGTGAATTTAGGTGGACAGGTCTAGCTTCAGTATAAAAAGGATTTGATGCAAGAAACGTTTTCGTCTCCCTCCTTCCCCCCTTTCCTCCATGTCTTTCATGTCCTGTCTCTCTCTCTCTCTTTCTGTCTGTCTCTCTCTCTCTCTTTCTGTCTCTCTCTCTCTCTCCGTCTCTCTCTCCCTCGCTCCTTCCCTCTCTCTCTCTCTCTCTCTCTCTTTCTCTCTCTCTCCCACACACACACACACTTTGACTGTCTCTGAAAGTGATCTGAATTTGATTTTTTAATGTCTGATAATGATTAATAAATAGTAATTCATGTTTGCACTCTGACGTCTTTACTTTAAAGAGAAAGAAAAATGTGTTTTGTAAAAATTGGACTTAAGACTTGGACAATCTGTTTTCATTAGCCAAGCCTGGGACCGTCAGAAATACATTCTACTAATGTGTTATTAAAAATAAAACAAGCATAATGATTTAATTAACTTTCCTGTCTGTATGTCACATAGTTTTCCTAATAGTACTAATGTTCTGAAGTTTCTTTCAATTTCTGGTCCTTCAGTACGTGAGTTCACAAGTGTTGGAAAAGCAGTGTCCAAGCTATTTATATTTGCTTGATCTCATGTGAATTATGAGTCCTTTGCTTGAAAAGTAAGAATGGTCATTTGCTTGATGCTGGTCACAGTTTAAGATCTTCATGTTGTTTTCCCTTTCACTCTGTGCAAATCGTGTTTCTCTTTTTGTTGGTGTTTTTTTCCCTCGTATATGTTTTTTTTCTTCCTATTGCCCTTATTTCAACCAACGGTTCATCGTTTAGATTTTGGAATAATAATCTAATTGAAGCATTTTTTTATATTTAAGAGGTAAGGGTGTAATTGTGCTTCCAAGGAGAAATCGTTTTGTAGTTTTAGTGAATTTATGGTTTATGTAGGAACGATATTAGAGTGAACCGTTATAATGATCTTTTTTTTCTGAAAAACTTACAAAATTATATGGAGTTGTTCTCTGTCATGTGGTTTTATTTTCTGAAAAAATGCAAAGGTGAATGAAAGCAAGAAAGAAGGTTTTTTAAATCTTAAAAAAGTAATGTTATAGTGTCTGTGTAGTGTGAATTGGAGACTGCTGCTGGTGAGAAAGAATTGTTATTTTTGTTGTTCTAAAAAGTAGACAAACTACAGAGGAGGATATGATCTCCCATGTTTTTCAGATTTTGAAGAAGTAAGGGCATGGATGCACTTCTGAAAGTTCTTTGAAAACGCTTTGCGAATTAATAAATTTGTAGTCTTTGTTTTTTAATTAGTTTTTAATTCCCTGCTACCATTTATAGAGCCACAATTAAATATATTTGCCCTGCTCTCTCTATAAGTCTCTCTCCCCCTCCCCCACCCCACCATCTTTTGTCTTACAGTATTTTTATATTCTTCTGTTAATGCTGTTGCTTTATTTTTTTTCCAAGTCATCACATCACATTTTCATGGCATTATCATCTTAGAATTCAATTTCTCTAGGATACGTCATTTTGCAAACTGCAAACATATTTTGGTGATAACTAAAATTTTAAAGGAAAATGTAATAAGGACAGTAGCTGGTATAAGTAGCCTTAGAACCAGTTCGTAATGGCAGTCTTTCATTGTCTGCATTTAGTGTAAATCAACTGTGTAGGACGGAGCTGAGTCAGTATCTCATAACAGGATGTTAAAAAATAAGACTGGCCTCATATCAGTCGATTGGGTTGCTCAGAATAGTAGAATATATATATATCTTGAAATGATCTAGATGTTCATGGAATGGAAATAAGTTATCAGCTTTTTTTTCTGTTATTTTATGTCTCCCATATATTGAAAAGGGGTCAGAAGTGTAACATGCAAATTTATTGTGTATTGAACTTTAACCCTCTATTCTGGTTAACTTGTATTGTAAATGTAATGTGTACACATCCAAAGAGAAATTTTCTTTCCTGACTCAACTCCTGTTATTCTCTCTATTTAATTTCATGGGCAAGTATTTTCCTGCTTATTCTTTCCTTTCTAACATTTGTTGTCCTTATTATATCTCGCCTCCTTTTTTGTATGTTACTCTCTTGTAACATTTCTTATCTTTAGCACTTATGACCTATTTGTGTTGCAAGTGTTGTAACACTATTATATTTCCAAAACATAAAACAGCAATTATGTTTGGGAAAATTGATTATTGTTTTTTTTTCCAGGGTTTTGTCATCAATTGTTGTCTTTTATTTAAGCAGTTCTTTTTTCTTTTTTTTTTTCATCGTTGTCTTAAGTGACAGTTTTGTGTACCCTTTACAAGGTCTTGTTCTCAGTGTTAGCAACTCCTGTTGTTTGTGTTCAGAATCTGAGATTAGCCCTGTTCATTGTTTCTTTGGAATTGTCTGTTTCAAATGTATGCTATATACAGGAGTAATTACTTGGCTGAAATTCAGTAGCCCTGTGAACATAGCATTAGTGGTTAGAAACCCTGGACAGGTGTAGAACACTTGTATACCTTGTCCTTTTTTCTGCCTTTTAAACGACAGATCCCACCACAAGCAATGTCAATGCAATTCACCTCCCAAACCACCAAAACTGGTTTGTCAATTCCTGAGACCAAGATTACTTTCGACTAGTCTTTTGTGGTAGATACTGGTTTAGAGAGTAAAACTAGTACTTGTATGGTTTGTAACTGATATGAATCTTGAAGAATTTTAATGGAAATTCTGTATCTCAAACTGCTACATGTACATGAAATCGAAAGTAACGTAAGTCGACCCTTTTTTCCAGTTACATACATGTTCGTCGGCAGACATCTTCCCTCTTGAACATCATTTTCTTTTTTTCTAAAGGATTTTAAGACACTGGTCTCTATAGTATTTCTATACTGTAAAGTTTTTAATGTCAGAAATTATTTGAGTTTATTCTAATGGATTCTTTTCAGTGGGTCTGGTCCTGGCGCTGACAACATTTGCATGCATGTTTTTATATTCACTCACTTGCCTCTCATTTTTGTTTATTGTTGTTTCTTTTTGTTGTTTGTGTGTCATATTCACCTTCATTCATGGTTTCTGTCCTCACCTATTGACGTAGATAGAGAAGCTCTGTATCCATTGTATCTTCTGGGTGTATGAAATAATCATGTGTCTGAGTTGTGTAGATGTTGACTTCCCAACTGGTTGGGCATTGGTGTGCACATAAATGCTGGTCAAACTTTTACTGTCTTGAGTTGCTTCCAAAATTATCTAAATCTAAAGCAAGTTAATTAGTCATAAGATGACTTCAGGAAATTTCATCTTTGAAATGACTTTGTTGTCGTTTGAAAAAAGGGGGTTGCAGTTGAATTGATTTCAAGTTTTTGACACTGTACGTCTTTGTGCCTTTGTCATAATCATGTAATAGTTTCACTCAAGCAGTGCTTAGATTAACTTTTGATCTGTGAATACAATGTGTAAAACTGCTGTATTCTGTAGTGTGGCTATCTCAGCAGGATCAAGAGTATCTTTCACTACAATGTTGAAGTTTTTGGTTGTTTATTCGTCAACGTTCTTGTTGTGTTTTATTTGAAAACATAAAAATAAGAGATTGTAATATATACAGCTATAAATTGAAACGTGTCTAAGCTCATAATACTATTTGTTTCAGGTGATATAATAAATCTGATTCCTGTATGAAGCATCCGTTTGCACAAATACATTTAGTTTCCATCTTCTGTACCCTGCACTTATCCTTTCCCACCTACATCTTTGATTCAGTTTTCCTAGTGGTCTATCTGTTGTTCAGCTGTTGTATGCATGACAAAATCGTTGTGATTTTAGAGGTGCGGAGGTTAATGGTTAAGATTACTTTTGACATATTTTAAAATTTTCCTCTAGCTCTCTTCTTTTTTTCTTTTTAATTCACAATTGATTCCTGTATGATTAAATGTATGTGTATATTATGTGCTCGAGGACTTATATTTAAATGAATGAACATATATGACAGAATTGGTTCTTGTGCCCACCATCTATTGTGTGATTTCATATGAGGCAGATCATACTATGTGAGCATCAGCACAAGGTGAAGTCTTCATACTTACCTTATAAAGGTTGCATTATTTATAACGGGAAGGATAGTATTACAATGCTAAATAATGCTCGCTTTTCCCCTCTTTATTCATGCCTTGAATTTACCCAAGATTTCTTCCCACAACAGGTTTGTTGTTATTTGATGATGTGAATATGTAAGAATTTTTTTTTTAAACATCTTATTTGCATTTCTTTTTTTTTTTGGTCCTTGCTGCATTTATCATGCCTGTGGTGTGATATTTTGATGAGCCTCACGGCCTGAAGGATCAGGATCCTCCCTCGTAGCAAAGTGACACATCATGTTCAGTGGTCAGGTTGACCGTATCTTACCTCCCGTAATCTTCATTTAACATATGAGAGCCTTAGCACAAAGTGCAAGTATGTTCCTCCTTTCAGTTTTGAGTGTGGGTGTGAACGCATGAGCTAGAATCAGTAGTTCAGTCACTTTCTTTTTGTATTTATTATTGATTCAGTGGTCCCATGGATATTTGTCTGCATGTCAGAAATCTAATAAAGCTATACTTAACTCGTTATTCGTGTTTTGTGATATTTTTATATCGTGACCTTTTCTTTTCCTTTTTTTTAGCTGACATTTATTGGAGGTAGTCACTGCCAGATCTCTTTCATTCCGGCCCTTCTGTCTGAGCATGTTTTTTTGCTTCCCTCAGCAGGTATTTGAGGGC